ACATTTTTATAAAATATATATTTTAAAATATTATTTATGTTTTTATTTGTATAAATGCAATACATGTACTAGACATATAATAATTTACTGAGAGCATTTAAATTGATATTCTCTGCTTGTTTAGAAGTTTTACATTCTGTGTAACTATAAGCCGGTATGCTATGTTAGATCCAGTTTAAATACAGCAAAGCACTCAGCATTCCGTTTAGTTGCACTAAGGGGGCCACCGGGAGGCCAACTCCTATTTTGCATATGGAACACTGCCACATGGTGATGAATGATAAGTTCAGCAGTACAGCACAGACAGTGTTCCATTCTCTCACGGCCACTAGTATATGTTCGCGCACTTATCTGCAAATTACAGTATCGGATTATTTATTTAGCTCTGTGATTTAGCCTCAACGATTCATTACAGAATCATTTGTTCCTGTAATCTGAATGAATGGAATGAAAGGCTATTTCCATCTTCTTGATTACAGATGCTGCATTGTAATCTATAAACGGAAACAAGGTTGAGAATAGTTAAACCTATGATTAATTGTGCAGTGTTGCTGATAGTTCTGAAATTAGTTAGGCCAGTGGTTTCAAACCCTCTAGGAACGGGGCTGAGAACCACTCAAGGCTACAAAGTTAGTCTACTAATTGTATTGGGTCTAGATTGATTTATTCAGAATGACTTAGATTGGCCAAACTGAAATTGCTCAATTAGTTCAAATTTCAGCTGAAGTTAATATTTTTGAAAAGGTAGATTTTGCTGTTCCGTGCTTAGCTTATAAAATGACACACGGCGACGTCCTAATTAAACATAATTAATCAAAATGAGTTATCGCCCACCCTGCCAGGGGCGGTGCCCACAAGCCTTGGCTTCTTCTCCGTTAACGTTGCTGAATTCCAGTTTTGCTCAAATGTAATAATAGACTCTGTTTTTAGAAAAGGAGAAAACCAAATCGGTTTTCTTCAAATCTGTGTTTCAGCTCCCATACTGGAGAAGAGCATGTTGGAAGGTTGGAAGAGAAGCGCACTGCCTGTCATTAGGCCCAGCGGGTTGAGCGGTTGTGAAGATGCTCGAGAGAGAGAGAGAGAGCGCCTTGTCTAAATGATTAATGTTGCGAGGTTGGGAGGCGGAGGTGGAGGAAGGCATATATGTAAGGTTATTCAAAAAGTATCAAAGTAAAATCCACAGAAGCACTTTAAAGCTAAATTAAGATTCACTCTGTTGTTCTCAGCTTTTTTTTTTTTTTTACCAAACTAACAAAGAAGATCTGAAAAACAAGAATGACAACATTTACATGCATTACAGTCACCTTTATTAACTATCCAGATGGATTTAATTAGATTGAAAGCCGTTTCAAAATGCATGCTTTTAATCAGATATGACCAAATTACAATAAAAGTGGCAAGATCTAGAAATATAAACATTTTACATTGCTGCTCCGTCTTGTTCACACTTTAGTCTACATGAATAGGTAAAATCAAATCAAAGCAAGAATTCTGACATTGACTTAGCATTGTGACAGTGAATTAATCCTGTTTTGTTGCTTTATTCATTTGTCAGTCAAAACACCATGAATTCAGTATACTTTCAGTATCAACAGGAAAACAAAACTTTGTGTAAAGTCAAACTCAGAGTAGAGCATTGTCATTGGAGAACAAGTCATTGGAATTCAACATGGGTTAAATATTTGAACATTTCTGGCCATTATAATACATATGTTAAAAGTTTCAGCACATGCCGTGGGAAAAATAACATAATTCTGAGAGCAATAAAAATACGTTGTGCACTTACAAAAGTTGAGGGCATGTTAATGACCAGTCAGGTCTTGAATGCCCTTTTTAAATTGTATTTTCTGTGCCCAAGAGATAAACTTGTACAAGTGAGTCTGCATCCGTGCGCAATAAATCTTGGCGCTTTGCAAAGATATTATTACTACAGCGGTTTATGCACAGGGGAGACTAACTCTGATTTTACCATGTACTAGCTGATAACATGTAATCTGGTTCAGAGCAAACTTGGCTATTGAACTTACATTTTCATATAAATCATTATCTAGGGGCAATAAATCTTCAATTTCCTTAAATATAAATCATGTCAGAGAGAGTTATAATGGCGGGAAAAACTGGTCAGTGACAGAACAGGTACATATTTTGTACCATATTTATTCAGTCATTCATGTGAATCAGGCTTTAGTGCTATTTTAGTGCTGACAGCTGGATTCTGAAATCAGAAGACCCTGGTTGTTGGACTTCCTGTTTCACCAGTGGCTCTGTGCACAGTTCATACCAGACATTGATGTTCTCTCATAGTGGTACTGGAATTTTAATGGCACTGGGGAATCCGCTGTGCTGCCACTAATCACAAAGGGTTGGTTACCTGTTTCCAGGTAGGAGTAAGAGGACTTTGCATTTGACTTTTCTTTGTGATCTTTCTTATACTTCATACGACGGTTTTGGAACCAGATTTTAATCTGGCGGTCAGTGAGCTTCAGCAGTGCAGCCATTTCAAGTCTCCGGTTGCGGCAAAGGTAAGAGCTGAAGTGAAACTCCTTCTCCAGCTCGAGCAGCTGGGAGGAGGTGAACGCTGCACGTGCCCGTTTACTGTTAGAACAGCTGCTATCCTGTACTTCACCATTGCTGTACCTGGAATCATCTGGAAAACATGCAGATATATAGAAATGTTAAAGTACACCAGGTCTAAGATCTGTCAAACATGAATGCTCAGGATTAGAGTATTAACCATGTTGCACTGCATAATGTCAGAGTGAATCTCTCTGATGCCTATGCCTACGTAGCTGCAAGTTTAAAGCCCCAGTGATAAATCAGTGTATTGAGAAGACCACTGTTGGTAGACTAATCACTAAGTTAATTATCCATTTCATATGACTTCTACTGTGGTTAGATTCCTAATGATTTGTGTGTGGATTTTTTTTCTTCTTTTCAACAAATGTTTTTATATTATCCTTACTGCACATATAAGCTGACAATCCCCACATATTTGCTCTATCATCTCATTGTTGCTTATATATGGAGAATATATTCTCTAATGTGAATGTATGAATTTGGCTTAGGCTAAAACAAGTGAAGCAGTCTTATATGTGTGACCCAGAAAAGCATAGCCTCAGACAATATGCAAATTTCACTGTAGACTTTTTTTTATTATTCTGCTCCTTAGTAAAAGTTTAAATTTAATCAAGTTCACAGAACAACTGGCTGTCTCTAGAAAATATTACTTTTCTTAGAAGTTCTCTTCTTTTTTTCCTTGTATGCAGCTTATGCATTTTTTACTTGAAAAGGACATATTTTCACACAGTAAAAGTACTGTTAGATAGCATAACAAAATCCCTATACTTAAAATATATTTGTTTTAATTGTGTTTTTGTCAATGAGCATACAATCATATTTGCCCCGTCTTGTGTATACTATAGCCATGTGTCCACATTCACCTTGATGGACTGGACTGATCAAAATATTTGAATTAATTACCTTAACCGAACAATGAAACTTTAGTTTTAGAATTCTTACATGAATTTTGTGGAAATGAACAGTCTTTATTAGTCAAGATTGAAATGTTGCCTGTAATTAGGGGTTCATTTTCTATTTAAGAAGGAAGGAAAACACTAATAATTGATTAATAACTGTAGTTCTTGATGATGTCAGTCATTGACATCAGTGTCTAAGTGACAAATCACAGTAACATAAAATCAAATCTCACACAGCTGTTATTCATTATCTACTAAAGATTAAGTGGATATTTCTAAGCAATACCAATCAATATATCTCTATATACCAAAAACGAGTTCTCTCACCTGATTCCATGACGTTAATGGAGCTGAAGTTTATAGGTGTATGTGTCTCCCTCATCCAAGGGTACTTCTTGCACTTGCACCCCTCGTCTCTTTCCGTTGCATTCGCCCGGTCCAAGGAGTTTGTCGTTTCATTCGTGGACTGGTTGACACCAGCAGAGAATGAATAGGGATGTTGAGAGAGTTTTTGAAAGTTCCACATATGGCCTTCATAATGTTTTGATGAATTTTCGTCAGCATGTTGTCTCCACGCAGAGCTGCTCTCCTGCAGAGCACAAGGGGAGAAATGTTGCTCCATAGAACAAACATGAGATTTATTGCAACATGTTCAAGTAAGCATTGTTAATATGAAATTCGTGAAACGAATTCTTGTGCATCTCTAACCACCCTGATCACTCCGGTTGGATAATCGATCACACAAGGTGTAGGAAAGACACTCACTGCCGTCTTTAATTGTTTTCCAACAAGGGTAAACAATGTAGTCACGTGATGGCCTCCTCCAATAGCCTCGCGCACTCGCTGTTTGAGTTGTAAAGTGCTGGAAAGCAACCACACGAGGATTCCTTTTTCCTCCGCATTTTTCGACTATTTTGCAATTTCGAATGATTATCCTGTGGACAGACGAAAAGCCATGAGCAGGGCGCATACATTACCCTGTTACCGTGCTGACAGAGTTGAGAGAGAGCGTGAGGTGGGAGGGAGAAAGAGACCCATTTGGACAGAGAAAAGACTTGCATGTCTGGGATCGCGTCTCCTTAGTTTTGCCACAATGGATTGCAGAATACAGACTTCATTTCCGTGATAGCGTTTTATAATACAGTGTTTGAAACCCTGACTGACTTTGCAGTCCTCTTGTGGTAGGTATTAAAATAATAATCGACTTTTTTGCCTTATGGTTAAATAATTATTCCTGTAACGCTTTACATTTGTGACAACAGCTGATTTTAAAAATATATATATATTAAAAAAAATCTTCTTAATCTTTCGTTAACAGCCATGTAGATGTTTTAGCAATTAATAAACTATTTCAGTAACATTGTCTTTGTCGTCATGGTTTGTAAAATGGATAACAAACAACGTTTCTGCGCGGTGAAGGAAATTGCCACACACGTTAAATTGATCCATGTCCAATAGGCTAGGCTACTACTGACGTTTCTAGACAATTTCCGGCGCGTTTTGAGATTTCTGCTCATCTTCACCTGGCGAAAAAGACATCAAGAGAATCAATGGGTGTGGTCAAACAAAGGGATTTTTGACTGTCAGTGCTGTACTGTCAATGCATGTCAAAAATAATCTTAGTGAAATGATAGAGTTTCGTTTTCCAATTAACTGGCAGTGTAAGAGAATGGTCGCTGAGATGGCATTTGCTAGTCATAGGTAACCAACGAAATATGTTAAGTTCATCGTCTGTAGTAAGAATCGCATTGTCGTCTATTTAAAACAACGTCCTGATGAACAAAAGAGCAGGAACAGCCCGGATTTGGCGTAAGCACGACATTTTAGGGCAATGGTGAAGTCTTTAGAAACTTGTTGGAGTCGGGTAACTTGTTGTTTTTAACGTCATTTTAAATAATTACAAATTGATTACAAAACCTTTCTACTCGCAATAGAATTAGCCTTTGTCCTCTGACGTCATAAAGCTAAGCTGGTGGAGGGAAGAGGGTCATTGCTACAGAACGTTATTTAGCGCTCGACCTGTCCAGATCGCTGTTTTTCCCAGACACCTATCGACACAGTAGGATTCGTTTTTAGCCAGTTGCTAATTAAAACGACGTCTTGCCGATAACATAATACATAAACCAGTCACGCTTAAATAAGTTAGTATCCCCAGTCTGAAATGAACATAAAAGACATCACCCTTCCTTTACATAAGCTGTGGACAGCGGTTGTCTCGCACTAGTGATTAATTGTGCACAAGGACTGAAAACCAAGGACTAGTCCCTTTTCATTTACTCTCCACAGTGTCTTGTTTGAGTGTTTACTCAGACACTCAGTACTGTCAATAACATGTCTAACGTATTTTCGAAGACAAAGACTGAT